GAATAGAGTGCCCCAGAGTCCACAGTCATGGTCTGAGAACCCAGTAAGATGTAGACATTTCTCTCTTTCTCATATTTTTTTTAAAAGGTTCAATTTGAAGTAAGGCTGACAGAAATATTCCTGTTAGAATGTCCAAAATATTTTTAGGATAGGAACTTTCTTCCAAATGGTGTTCTAGGTTCATGGAATGCCTGTGGTGATGAATATAGATGGGGCTATAACTTCATTATGACTTTGGTGCTGGAGTATAATTTTATCATAATGTTGAGACCCCTGCTCTCAAGGAATGGAGGATTTTTATTAGGCCATAAAACCAAACCAAGTGAGGACTGGAGAAAGGCATCCTTCTCCTCCCTTTAAGTCTCCACATTCATTCCACCACTCAAACTCAGTCAATGGAGTGACTCATCATCAATTTCTATGCCTCTTTCCTTGTCCTTGGGCAACAGGAGCAACATGGAACCTGACGTGAGTGCTGAGGTGCTCAGGTGCTTCTCAGATCTTCACAGAAGAGATGTCTGTTGACAAGCAGATTTCGCTTAGCAGCCAGGAACAGAATCCAGACGAAGCAAACTGCAGACATACAGAAGATCCCTAATGCTGATCATATCACTAGGACAGAGAGCATGTCCTCGTCTCTGGTTCATCCCTGATTAGCCACTTTTTAATTATGTAATGTGAGTTTATATTATATTAGCATTTAATTGTTCTTTGGAATAAATATAGTTGTGATTGTTTTTTTAGACTATATTTGGAAAGTCAAATTAATGTGCTGTAATCAGTGTGAAATAAAACAGAACAAAAATAAAAATAGTAAAATGCATGAACAAAATAATGGTATACTTTTGCAAACCCTTTCATATACAGTGAAATATAAGAAAATACTTTATTATTCTTTATAATAAACATAATTTCAAATTTCCTATGGTATACACTTTATATTATTCATATGCAGTTATAACTTTATGTTTATAGATGTAGTTGGGGACATAAGGAAGCGTTGCTTGTACGTGTCCACACAGCATTGCTTGCTGGCAAGATGACTCAAGAGTTAATCATGTGTAGAGCTATTGCAGATGACCTGAGTTCGGTGCTCAGTACCCTTGTTTGGTAGCTGACAACCACCTGGACCCCAAGCTCCAGAAGGTCTAAAGACCTCTTTCTATTCTTCATGGGCATCCTCACTCATATGTACAGACATAAAAACACATACATAATTAAAATAAAAATAAATCTTACAAGAGTCCGTACTATATCTTATTTTTCAAAGAACCTTGTCTACTTCAGAATGATTTTTTATTGTTTCAAAAGTGAAAATATAACACAATTTAAGATGATTTTGAGACAAAATCTCCCACTGGAAACACTGTGACCTTTTATTTTATTTATTTAGACAAAGTTCTAATTTTCAGGCCTGGGCTTGCCATTGTCTTGTTATCGTCCTGCCTCAGCCTACAGGCATGCAATGACACACCTGCTAGCACTCAAAGCACCTAACCATTCAATTTGCTGTCTTCCGGGATTTATACTGTGTAGAGCTCTGAGGTTTTAGTTTCTGATTTTAAAAAATAAGCTTGTGTGTATATGTACGCAAGGGCATGTGGTAAGATCAGTTCTCTCCCTGCCTAAAAAAAAGTCTTTAGTGTCTGCTTTTCCCATTTTTTTGCCTTTTCCATTTGAATAATGTAGTCTCTTCCGTCTTATTCAGAGCGGAGATGACTATGCTCCGCCCCGCCCCATGGCTGCCTGATGTCACGGGTAGTACACATATTTTATATACTATTTCTTTTTCCTCTATGTACTCACCTTTGGTGTAGTTGAGAACTTTCTTTTTTTAACTTTTATTTTTTTCCTTAAAGTGAGCATTTCACAGCTTCTCTTTGCCATAGCTGAATTGCTACACTACGTCTATTGAGAGAGTAGTCCCTTGACTGTTAGGCCCAGGATGCCGCAACAATGCGTCTGCTAACTGGGTTGGATGCTGTGTGCCTCATGGGTATATAGTATGTATTTCTTTAATAAAGAAACTGATTCATAGAGCGAGGTGCAGATTATTACACTAATAAGCATAACATATACGTTAACGCTCATGGATTGTTTCAGTGTTTTACATTTACTATTTTCAAATTATGGTTGATGGCAGGTAACTTAAAACTAGAGGGTGAGCAAATTACCCATGCTTTTATTTTAAGTTACATATGCAGTTCCAGTAACTAGTTCATTACTATATTCCAAACAGTCCCAATTATCTTTTCAATCACCTGATATAACCATGAAAACATCAACTTTATATTGGCATTCAAATATGCTAATGTCTCATATCTCCTGAATCCCCACAATATCAGTATAAAAATATAACCAATTTGGGACTTGGGAGATGATTCATGGGTAAAATCACATGCTACACAGTACAGACATGGCTGAGAATGCTTGTAAACACAAGAGAGGGGAGAATTCCTGGGTCTGCTATCTTCCAGCCTGGTTCCAGTTTCAGAGAGAGAGACTCTGCCTCAGGGGATAATGTGAGGAATGACAGAGCAGGACTTGCAGCCATCCTCTGTTCTCAACAGGCATACATGAACACACACCACACACACACACACATGCCTATACATCTCCCTCTCACAACACACACACACACACACACACACACACACACACACACACTCACACACACACACACACACACACACACACACACACACACACACACACAGTCTAAAACTAATTCGGAAACTTCAGTCCTGTTCCCCAAGAGAGGTGCTAATATGATAAACTGGGAATAAGCTTCAGGATGGCAGAAAAAGCCCTACTCCTGAGAACAGAATAAAACTTCTAACCAGTATCTTTGCAAGCTCCAGCTCTGCTTTGTTTGTTCTTCTGGGCTCAGAACCCTGTGAAGATTCCTTGCCTTTGCCTAATCCTGCCTAATGCTCTCCTTCATGTCCTTCCCTACCCCTCCCTGCTCTCTGCCCCTTCTCACAGCCTAGACCTTGTACAACTCTACCTGATGTTTGCTTCAGGAGATTGGCATTGCTTCTCCCTCTCCCTGAAGACAGGAATCCTCTGCTTCTTATCATCTAGGACTGCAAGACTTCATCCCAAGAGTAATCTTCTCTGCCCTCCCAGTCACTCACCTTTTCTCCTCTTATTGTGTTTCCATAGAATTTATTGGTATCATATATTTTATTGCTTTTGAATACTTTCTATTGTTTCTCACTACATAAAAGGAAAAACCTTATCTAATTCATGGCTGACATGCTTCACTCTTTACATTTCCTGAATGGCAGAGTGCTCCCTTTGCTAATGAACAGTTTTAAAAATAAAATTGGTTGGTATAAATACTTGAAACTTAGTGCACTCATATTTTTAGCTTCATAGTCTTAATTCAAAGATACAATCATCAGTATATGTATTTTCCCAGTAAAGATTGCATTTACCTCTTATTAATATTTTTATACAAATTAACACTATAGTCAATTTTTTGTTTTCTATATAGAGTTGATACAGGAATAGTATCTGTATATTTTGTGCAAAATTAAACTAGCCTATTTTATTTTATTTATGAGTCAGGATTTCAGCATGTAGACAGGTTGGACTTGAACTCATGATTTTCCTGTTCCAATCTTCTTAATACTGAGATTACAAAGGTGTATCACCATGTCTTTTTTTGTTAGCATTTGCTGTATAAAGTAAATAAATATTATTCAATTATTCCATCTCATGTGTAATACATTAAAATTTTCTAGGCTTAAAAATGTTTCATTTGCCAAGTATGTGTGTATATATGTATACTAATATAGTTATCTGAACACATCTTGTTTCTGAGAACTTTTAGGTAAAAAACTTCAAACACATAAAAATAAGAACTTCTTAGGTTCTCAAAACCATTTCTGTATTTCTTTCTCATGTGAGAAAAACCACAATTAAGTAACTTTTCAAAATTAATGCATCCCCAGGACCATCTCCATAAAGTGAATATTGCAAAACCGTACATGTATCACTCTCCCATAACATCTGTAGCTAGATGGCTGTACAAACCAGTCACGGGCTATCAAACTGTGGGTACTCAAGTCTCTCAGATAAAATGGCATAGTATTAGAACACGGTCTACATAGCTTCTTGACTTTAAATCATCTCTAATTGTTATGCCTAACACAGCACAAATGCCACATAGATAGTTGCTACAGTTTGCTGTAGGGTTGACTGTAAACAGAGCTGGTTCATATCCTCTATGAAGCTCACTTACTAACTCAAATTGCAGCCTCTGTTTTAGAGAATTCTATTACTGTACTTTATTCAGGAGTATCTTTATTTGCATCCTTTGCTTTTTAAACTTCCTATAAGTCTTTAAGAATCAAAGTATCTAACTTAAAGCAATTTCAGCTTTCTATAATTCTCTCATAAAAGATAGTATATAACCTTGGAAACAATGTTGAAAAAGACAGATACTTTACTTTTGCCTTTCTATTCAATTCCATAGCCATGGCTACATAAAAAGTTATAGCCTCGAAGGAATATAATACAGTATACAAATGTTTAGAAGGTCCCGTTGATACACTGTATTTTCGGTTTAATAGTTAAAATTCCATACTCTTTCTGAGTTTGGAGCAAACAGATAGTATGCCATACTCTTTTTACAAAGTGGGAGGTGTGCTAGAATTTGGTCACACGGTGATTAGCCGGTCTATATTATTTTGGACACTGATATAATGAACATAGTGAGCATTCTTCCTAAACTAACGTAGGCTCTTTTATCACAAGAATGGTGAACATTACTGATCTAGGTACAACTATGGCTTGCTGTAGAACTGGCTGATATCATATTCTGAACATGAAGTAAAAATATAATGCATCATGGTTTTTCTCAGTTTGATTGACTTTCAATATATGCCATAATCTACGGAATTCTTAAAGCTCAAAGAGACTGAACTGGTAATATTTACCTATCATTTTATACAACTTTCAGATATTTAACTTTGAAAGAAAAAACATTTATATGTTAATAAAGTATCATAATTAAACCTTTATTTCTCATTAGAATGAAGTATTGAGTCAAATGAAACAAGAAAATTGGCAAGAAAATATTTAGCATAAAATCTTTTAGCATTTCTTAAAAGAATGTCAAGAATGTTATGAAACTATGCACATTGCTTATAAGTGGATGGCAAAGTCCAGTCCTTTACTTTAGAAAAGCAAAGGTACTCATTGCATTCAAGTTACAATTTAGGACCTTGTATTGGGAATGGACCATTCCTACTTATATGGTGTTATGGTTTTGTAATAAAAATAAAAGAATCTCTTAGGATGACTCTCTGGATATATTCTTTCTCAGGCTATAACTCTTCCATATTGTAAGCAGGAATATATTGATTGCTTTGTCTTTCTTTGCCAGATAAAGATTTATTTAGAATGGGTCTAAACAAAATACCATAAAGTCAAAAATAATAATGGAATATTTAAAATTACAATTAATGAGTCAAGATTGAACACCTATCTTTTTCAGTCTGGGATTTGCAGTATTTGCATATTGTATTCAGCCAACAATCACATTTTAATTTTTAATTAGTAGACATTAAAATATAATTAGCAGCAAATAACAGAATGACAAAGCTACAGAATTTTTTGAAGAACACTGGAAGCAGCATTATTTAGTCAGACTGTGAAGTACTCTTCCAGGACCTTGGGGAGTCAAAATGTCTTCTTCAGCCTCCCCACTTGGTTTCATTCTTTTTTTCGAGATAGAATATTGATAACACAGAGAGATCTATCAAAGCAGGATGTGCATTCTTCAGACTCAAGATCCCCAAACCTTAATAAACACACATACAAAAGAATGCAGCAAATTCCAACATAGCATACATACAACAAAATTAATTCATCTATCAGAGACATACACAATTTAAAAATATGCATTTTCCAGAAGGAAGCAGAGGACAACAGAGACAAACTATAGCTGTTGAACCAGTGGAACAGAGAAACACACTACAAAAATCCACACAATATGTGAGTTACAAATAAAAAATAATGCTTTTGGAAAAGAAGTTTGTGGCCTAATATATGCTCATGTGTATATTTGTATATAGAATGAAGAAAGTCAGCTTGCATGAAAGTCATAGTCTATCTACCTTGAAGTCATACTACACACACTATAAGCAATTTACAGGATTTGCCAGGTTTGCATATACAGAAACTGCAAAATGAATTAAAACACATTGAAATATAGCACAGTCAATATGTATGAATATAAACCTCCCAAGATTGACAAGGATTAGCCATAATTGGCACTTGCCACCATTGAACAAGAACAGCAATCAAGGAAAAGAAGGGAAACTCCAAGGTAAATTCCACGGGGCAAAAAAGAAGTTTAAATAAAAAAAAAAACTTTCTTTGATTATTTCTTATGTAAAATAAAGTTGTCTGTTTTTAATTTGCAGTGTCCAGCATTTTGCTTTTTGTTTTTGTTTTTCTCCCCAGCTGGGGTGCTGTTCAAAGATAGTTTGTGTTTCTTAGGCTTTCCATCTTTGTTTGATTCTTGCAGATTAGGTATCCCTTGGTAGGAAAACGGTAGAATCCATGGAAATATTTACTATACCGATGACTTTCAGGCCAACTCCTGAACAATCAGTGAAATGTAGATCTTATTTGTTGCAATAAAAGAAAAAAATTGATCTTGTTATTAGAAAATGTTCTATCACGTCACATTAATTCTCTTGAAATAAAAGATCAGCGACTTCCCAAAGAAAATACTATCAATAAAGCATGATAGCCTCTTCATTTATGCTTCCGGAAGCTGACGCTCCTTGTGTAGGTAACTAGAGTAGAGGGGTGCGGAATGGTGCTTGGCGTTTAGGGTCAACTTTGCTGTCCGCTCCGTAGATTTTACAGGCGATTTGCTCTTTGCTTTAAGAAGAGAAAGTGATATTGGAAAAAAGTCAGCACTTTAGATTAAAGCAAAGCACCCTTCACAAAGCCACAAACAAGAAGCAGGACAGAAAGTCCATGGCTTGTAGCTATCCTCGCACCTGCGGAAGAAGTTATAAGATATTCGCTCATCTTGAAGATTTCCAATGCTCCTTATTAGGCTGTTTTAAACATATACATATATATATTTAATTAGCTCGCCAGCTTGGCTCTGGTGCTCATGAATGTCTTGGCATGCACTGCAAACAATAACACATACAAAACATTTCAGTCCCAAGAAGCTGGTGGTGTCTGTTTTCAAACAATGCCGTCCCACGGCTGGGAACTCTGAGAGCAAACGAATCCAAACACGTTTTCCCTTAAGAAACTGGGTGAATATCACTTTCAAGGTCATTTGGTTGTCCCTGAGAGGACACTCCCTATTTCACTAGTGTGTTAGTGTAAAGGTCCAGGAGAAACCCTATTCTTGAGGGCACTGCTCTGTTCAGTGCTCAGGACTGTTGGACGCTGCTGCCTCTTGGTGACTACTTTCAGAGTGTGACCATTCTCAAGATTCTATCCCTCAAGACGAGGAAGAGCTAGATGTCAGTAAATGAACAAGCTCTAAAACTAGTTTTGTATGGTGGGCAGGGGATAAAATGGTGTTTTCACAATTCTTCCTTTATTATCCAATCAACTACCCATAATGACATATGAGTAACTACTTGTAAATGAGGGACACAAATGTTCTTTGTTTGTTTAGTTGAATGGTTATAAGAAATTGGGACAGGAAAAGTATGAGAATTCAAACTTTTCAACATTTCAGCTATACCAGGTTGGCTCCTTAATTACAATGAGAGAAACTGACGTACCCAAAGAACTGCTGTAGAGTAAACATGTGAGGATTTGGAATGGTCCATTGAAAGACCCACACCTGATTTTTTTGTCAAGTTGCTTTGGTACTGACTCTGATTCGCTTTTCTGGGAGGTAGCCTGTGTATGTTACCCAATATCTCCTTCCATCAACCTAAGGACTAGAGACCCAGGAAGTGCCCTGCATTCAACTTGTGTGAAAAAGTTCAGAGACCCAAAAGTTACTCTTAACCCCCATGGGGCTCTAAGTACAGAGATCATACAAAGAAAACATGTGTCTTTTTAGACTATTTGCAACTAAGCATGTATTCATGTTAGATTTTGAAGGAAGACTATTTGACAGAAAGGAAAAGACACAATATTACACAGTTCTCTTAATTGCTGATTGCACTTGATTTGACACACATATATATGCAACCAAGAGAAGTTTTAAAAATGATGAAAGTAATAAACTTTGGGAAATATTTCACTTTGGGAGTTATTTTGTGAAGTAGCAGTTTTCTTCTCAGGGTGAGTGATAGAAGTTGGTTTCTAACTGAAATTGCTGTTTTTCGATACTCCCTTCTTGGATCTACCCTTTCTAGAACATGGCTGCCCCAGCATTTCTCTAACACACTAATAAAACAACAGCTGCTTCATCTTGACTCAGCATTTCCTGCCATATGTCTAGCATGTGCAAGTTAAAGCATAATTTACATGAATGTTTTAACAGGAAAAGTAATAACCCAGTCTTACATCGTTGAGAATATTTGAAAACCACTGGAAATTTGAATTGCCCTCAGATGCACAATCCACCATTGGAACACAGAACTTTCTTTTTCCCAGGTTGGAATCTTTCATCCACTCTGTTTGTATGCATTCACTAGCACATTAGATGAGTTCATTTGTGACAGGACAATCATTAAGACTTTGTTCTATGTGGCAAATTCCACATCCTGTTTCATCACATCATTGAGTGATTTTCATTTCTTTGTGGTTTTTATTTGTGTCTTGAGTGAAGAGAGACGGACTCCTTGGTGAAATTTGAGGCTCTAAACTGTTGTAATTTGTTTTAGGCAATTGTACCAAGTTACCAACATCACTGTTTTCATTAAGATTCAAACTATTTTCAGTAAACAATATTGTCAGCCCACACACTCTTGTTTATTACATAGAAATATCAAAAGAATTGTTTTTCATCAAGAACAAACCAGCAACTCCTCAGGTACTCTTCTTTTTTTTCCATACAGAAACACTTCACTTTTGTGGAACAATAAACTAAGCTGCAGTCACAAGTCCTTCAAACTTCTGTTGTCATTCACTTCTAAGATTTCAAATGAGACACTTACTTAGTATGGTTTCTAAAATTACTTATGCATGCATTATTATTATTATTATTTGGCTTTTTCAAATTATTAAGCCAGATCTGCCTTAGAATAGAGTCACCTACTTTATTTTACTTATTGTTTATTTATTTTGTTTTATTTATTTAGTTTTTATCCTCAGGTTAACCATATTACCAATTACTTGCCCTAAATTATTATACATTTAAGCAGTCATTGCCCTCAAATGACCTGCTGTCCACTGTATCTTTTTCCTCCAAAGGATGGTACTCTCTCTCTTCTGAATGTTTCAAGTATTTTGGTTGTGCTTCTTTTGTGTCTTCCCATAGTTAACATATTTTGCAATAAATTTTCTTTATATATTATCTCACTGACCACACCATTAATCCATTGAAAGCGAAGAACTGAATTCTTTTAAGCAGTTTTTAAGCATACTGTTCATTTTAAAAAAGTCTTTTGAGATTTTAAACTTCTTACTCTAAAATACTCCATGAAGAGAGATACTATTATGTAACTGCTGGAGGAAAATGTGAAGGTAGTATGTGTGGTTTAAGAGAGGTCATATTTTCTTCTAGGTTCAGAAGGTATGTCCCTTGTCTTGTAGCTACCCCATCCCCCCTACCCCTCAATCCTTAAATTTGTTTCCAGGGAACTCTTGGGTGTAATTTCTATACTTATGCAAGCTAGTGGAGATATTTTTTTTTCTAATGTAAATAGGAAAGAGGTGTCTAAGAAGTCTTAAAAGTCTGCGAAAAAGCCTGGCTCCTATTTGTTTGAGTCCTCATGGTTTTAACACTGTCTCCAGAGATGCAGACAAGCATGCAATTCTCAAGAGTGTTAGAAATTAGTCTTGCCAAGGAACAATGAAGGAAAGCCTCAGCAGTTTCATCAACATCATCACCATCATCATCATTCTCAAATAGCATAATAGAAATTTCACTTGATTACTTTTTAAATAAACAAAAAATCTAAGCTTGGCAGTCAATACTTGACAACTTTCTCACTTGAGCCAGAAATGGTTATATGTGCCACCTCCTTCTAATATCATCTGTCCCAATAGCTATGCTCTGTCCCAGGTCATCAGCAGAAATCATACTCATGGAGACTCATTTTCCATCTTCCCCTTGTTTATTGAGTTTGTGGCAGCAGCTAAATTGCCTCTTTCCTCTTGCTCCTTGCCATGCTCCTCTACCACATGGAAGAATTTAGCTCTCCCCATACATTCCATTTAGCAGCTATGTGTACTGCACTTCTAGCTATGCTTGTGATTTACAAAGTAACTAAGGTGCATGTGAGAACTAGTGTGTATCAACACAGTAATCATTTGTAGACACAGTCTTATTCCTCAGAGCCATCCCAGATGCTTAATGCACAGATTAAGAAAGCAATACCTGGTGACAGAAAGTATTCCCTCACTCTGAGTTACACAGGTAGGGCAAAGGCATAAACATGAAGTCCAAGCACAGAGTCATCAAAGATCCTGAGATGCTCCTGACTGAACCCTGAGACAGTGACAGTGTTTCAAGACTTCCACCTTTATTAGGTCATCATTTGAAAGAAGAGTATGCCCAAGAGACAAACCTATCTCTCACACATTTTACTTTTCTCTATCTATGACTTGATAAATACTGGATATGGAAACATCTCCTCATCCTAAGTAAACTTTAGCTAGCTCTTTATAATGTATCAGATAACACATTACACAACGTTTTGAACTTTTCAAATCATAAATATTTTGTTTTTAATGTTTCCTCAAAGCCTCTTAAGAATTTGAGTGAGATGTGGGTTCACCATTATTCTGACAGCACTTGGCTAAGAATTGCTTTTTCCCAGGGTTTTGATCCAAGTCCAAGAGGAATATATGTTGAGTGTTGAATATGCCATCATTAGTTAGCTATGGGTACTGAAAGAATAGCAAAGTTCATGGCTTAGAAGAAATATCACCAGCTGTGACTATCAAATGACCAAGTACAGAGAAGCACTTCAATATTTAATTCACGCAAAGCTTACATAAATATCCACTTTATTTTGACTTTGAATATTTTTATACACTACTTTCCTGCACTCATTTGACTTTTACTTGGTTTAAGAACAAGACACACACCTATTGAAAGTCTCTGTTGTGTACTCCACATAACCTACCCAAGAGCTTCCTTTTCTTTATCTCCCTAACCACCTACTAGCAGGAATAACAAAAAAGAAGAAAGAAATTCTATCTCTGTGTGGCTCTACTAAGCAGATTGTAGAATATTTGTTTTTGCAAGAATGAATATCAGAGATGCCTGTCTTATGACCAGAACTACTCCAAGATAAGTGCCATAATAGTCTGATGACTTGTTGTCTGTGAAGAAGTCAATGTCTCCATTTCCTTTTACTGCCTTTGAGAAGACAGTCCTCTATGACATGCTTTTCTTTATTACAGATGTCAGCTTTAAGAAGTGAAAATGACTGCGAAAATTTGAGCTAACTTTTGAAGAAAATTTTATTCAGGTTAGCTCGTAATAAGTCACTACTAAGAGGATATATCAAACAATAGTATGATTTTATTCTAATTATTTTAAGAATGATACCTTTTTATTAGAAATTCTAAGGTTCCAGTCACAATTTCTTTGAGAAATCTAGCTTTTATAAAGATGTGAGTATCATTTTTACTTAACACACACTCTGATTCTGCTGTGCCCTGGGATGTTGGCCACTTAAGGTTCTTTTCTTTCTTTCCTATGGTCAGCACATCAAGACTATTCTGATTGAAGGGCATTATACTGAGGATCAGGGAGAAAGTTTAATTCCCCCTCCATTCCAGGT